GGTTCTCCTCCTCAAGAACATTCGTTGCCGACGTGGCCGATTGCGTGGCCAGCTCTGCCTCAGCCACCCGCGTCTCCTGCGATGCCAGGCGGAGAGCACGAACGAAGCGGCCATTCTGGTTTTTGCTCGTAGTAGCAACCCTCTCGACCTGCTCCATGTGCTCGTTCACACGAGCTATAATCGCCGCCGTAGACATCGCACGGTATTCCCGCGCGAGCACCATCTCATCCGGCAGAGGGATGCTCGACCGCGATGGCGGCCGTGCGGGTCCATCCGCGGCGAGCACCGCCTCTGCGGCCCCCACCTTCATGACCTCGGCTTCTACTTTGAAGAGGCGTTTCTTGGCTGCAACCATATCCACAACCTCATTCGTCGTAGCCGAGCGGCCACCTTTTTTTCTCTTGCGGGAGGCGGAGGAGGCATCCGAATCGGTGCCGTCCCCTGCCGCCATCAAGTCGATGGAGGAGGCGCAGGAGGATGCCTTCGATCTGTTTCGACTTGCGGAAGCCGCACGGGCCCTCTCTTTCTGCCTCGAGGCTGGGACTCTGAGATGATGTCATCATCCTCAGTCTTCACAACACCCGACTGCTGCGTCCCGCAGTCTCCTACGATCGCCGTGTCTAAAGCCACGGGCAATATGGTGAGCGGAAGCTCAGCCACATTCCCGGGCATCCTCTTCAAACTCACAAAGCACAGACGCTCTTCCGAACAGTCCGTGTCTCCCCCATCCCCGGTTTATTTGTTTCTTTTTCACCATCCATAATGGCCCCACGAGTAGGTCGGAAAGAAGGTCAGCCTGGCCAGAGCCGCCTTACCCAGGTAAGCCTAAATACTCGGGTGGGTGGGCAGGTACCCCCGAGGGACCGTTTGAGACTGCGCCTATTTAGCGTCGAGGCAGCCATGCACCTAACGGCACGGTTTTCCTACACACCTTTGGTTTGGACGTCCCCCCGCCCCGCATATCGCCCCCTTTTCGAACCTCCGTCCGAGCCTTACCAGTATGGGAGGCCCTGCCAGAGTCCGAAGACCCCGCCGGCATCACCTCGCACATCTTCGGACCTACTTCAGGGACGACAGGAGCACCCCCTTTTGAACTCGTGCCACAGGCAGGGGATACCATGGCCGTATTCCGCCCTGCGGCCACACAGCGGATATTTTATAGAGGTTTACTCCTCGTGGACCGGCCGGTTAAGTCAAGCCCCCCATTCCTGCGAAACATGACCACAGGCTTACGATATGACGAAAGCTCAGGACCCCAGGACCGCTAATCCCGTGCTGGAGGTGCCATACAGGCCCTGCAGCCCTTGAGGTTGCCGTTCTCCCGTTAGCATAGAGGCCCTCACCCTTGGGTAGCCGAGCACCGAAGTACTCGACTACCGAAGGGCATAGAGTGCCTCTATTCCAGCGGACACCACCACGTGGAGGTGGGAGATCCGACTTGTGCCACCCTGGTACCATTCGTCCACCCAGTCTCTATATCCCCGAACACTCTATTTCTCCTTCCTCTCTCCTGCCGATCCCGCTCGGTCCCCATTGTCGCCCCCTAATGGTACCATGACCAGGCTGACGACTAGGTCTCTTGTTGAATCAAGAGTTGATGAGAAGGGTGCATGACACAATTGGCCTCTCTCCCTCCTCTCTCCCGCTCCGTCAGTCCCCGTTTCGTGCCCCCTAATGGCGCTATGACCAGGCTGACACCGTTTTCCTCCCTTGCAGGTTTCAGTCGTTCGATCAGTCGTATCTATGTTTCTTCGCCTTATCCATTTCTGCTCTTTGTCTTTTCCCCCTCGTTGTCTTCTCGCTTCTTCCCCTCCTCTTGCCGTTTGAAGAACGCGCCATGTCTCCGCCATCTTGCTTGTTGCCGCGTGCCTCCGCTTCACCCTTAACCCTTAAATGCATGAGTTGGGTCCGCAAAGGACCCCAGTGTTACATTATTTGTGTAAACATTTTTATCCGCGCCATTTGTGAACTGAAAGATCAGCTATTTGTTTCTGTCTATATTTATGTTATGTTCAATGTGTTTACAGATATAAATTGTTGCTGTAATCAAGGTTAGCACAGAATTAGGTAAGTGGGGTCCTCAATGGACCCCACGTATGCATTCATGTTCCTAATATTTAGTATCTCATTGTACACATATGTTAGCCTCAACGTATTTGGGAGTGCGTGATAGACTGCGTGAGGTCTAAGCGAAAGGTTGTTTATGAGAGTTGAAGCGAGGCGACAGACGATGGCTATTGACTTAGAATCGCGTGGTCATCAGACGTCGCAGGACTGTGTGTTTTGTCAGTTTGTGAGATTGTAGAAAAGGTCAGGCAATTTGTTATTGCTTTGCCTAAATGAATAGGAACGTTGTTGCTTATGACTTGCCACGGAGTGGGGAAGGCATCCTTGCCTTTGGTAAAAGAACTGACTTTGAACTCTCGGCAGTTACCACAGCACTTCAATTCTGAACAGTTCTTTTTGACAAAATATCTAACACATATTTTTGGAGATTTTGCACAAAATGGCTAACTGGGAGAAAAATAAACCTCGAACAGAAGAAGAGCTAAGAAAATTAGCTGAAAGTAGACAATCTACCCCCCTTACGATGGTGTCTTGGCAGAATCACGGAACTGCACCAGGGGCAAGGATGGGGTTGTTCGCGTTGTGTCCGTGAAGACGGGGGACGGACTTTACAAGCGGCCCATCACCAAGATCTGTATCCTGCCGATGCAAGATCCTTCAGATTCGGAATAGAAGATAGATCATTGTACAATTTTTGTAGAGATGTAATATAATAGAATAAGATAGATTAATGTAATAGATTGTAGACACACAGTACATTTTAGTTATAGTTATTGAGTTCAGGGAATAGTTTAGAGACAGAAAATGTATATTGTATAGATTTTAGAATCAAGAGGTTGAACACACATCATGTGTTCAACGGGGGGCGGCATGTTAGAGTTTCATACAGATGAGGTTTACGACATGACGAGAGAATGGTCACTTTTGAACCCCATAATTTAGTATCCGTACCATCTGCGTGCCAGCACTACGATGGTACGTGACAATTTGTAGTTTTTAGCAGATCTGTTTATTGCTGCACTAGTCTTTAGAATTTTTGGCTTCAGTGACACAGGTCATGTCATAAATCTCTCAGCTTAGAAGGTCAGAGAGCGATCTGACCCTTAGAAGTAACGGGTCCCGCGGACCGGGACTGACGTCATAGGATTTTGGAAAAACCCGGATTCTCCCCGGAATGCCGTCCTCCCCCGTAGGAACTTCTGTTCCCCTTCCAGAAAAGTACCACGCTAAGGGCGCAATGGAAGGGAGGACAGAGGTGTTAACGAAGCTAGAAGATGACAAATTAGACAGATAGCTAACAGTTTAGATA